GAATAACATATTACTGTGAGTGTTTGCTAATAATGTATGGAATATGCAGTTGCCGCCCCCCGAATCTTCTGTTAACAAATTTAGGAAGAAGCAATCACTTGGAAATGGGATTTTCCAATACAAGTATAAGATGATTGCAATCTTTTTGCCTTGTGTTTTCCAAACATGTCAGTAACCCTACTTGATTACTTATTTAGTGCTAGAATATTAACTAGCAACTCCCCATATTAGATAAAACAGAAGACTCGTATGCAAGCTAGGATAATTTCCAGGATTTTCAGAATTTATCATTCAAAACAAAATTCAGATGTTACAAATAAAGAACAGCATGTGCACTGAAGTAATCTGTTCCCAAATTTATCAGCATGTTATACTTGGTAGTTTGTAGATTACAGAGATAGAACAAGAAAAGAATAAAATCCAAAGGGATCTTGATTAGTATCGCTAAGCAGATTTCTCAGGTACCTGTAACCAATTCGGTGAGGAAGTATAGGCCAAGACAACCGACTCTAAGATTCTACATTTTCATAACCAATAGCTGACAAGACACATTGCAATCAAACTCATTTATAAAGACAATTTGATTAAATTCAAATGGGTGTTGTGGAAGCTTAAACTTTATCTCCAAAGAGCACCAAAAAAGAGGACCATCTACAAATGGAACTAAATTATGCAATTCGTAGGCCATCATAAAGCTAATTGATGTGCCATTGCCATATAAAATAGATTCTGACAATATAATAAACCTGCCTTTTCTCCTATTTCGTAAAATCAGTTTGTCTTGTCCTACCATACTTTTAGCTGGTTTATGCTCTCATGAGGGATATATATCTGATTGACCCCAAACATGGCCATGGACTCGCTGTGCCGACTTTGACTGTTGAAGATTCTTTGAAATGACCCGGGAAATGGCCCGATTTTTCAGTGAAGCCTGAATTATGAATCTCTCTGCTGCATAAAGTCCCTCGCAGCAAGAAGAAACTGAGACAATTCCCAACAGAATAAGGAAGATGCTGAGATGTTTCCATGCAAAAAGCAATAAATACATGTACCTCTTACATATTTGTATTCTTGGTTTATTAGATCATGCTGAGGATTGAAAAAGATGATTCAACCTGACATGCATATCATAATTCTCATGAACTAGACACTGTAGGCTTGTCTTGGACACCATGTCGAACCATGTGCATTCCATAAAGAACCAGGTGAGTTCAATGGTGACTAGTCGCTATATTGAAGTGTAACAATAAAAAGCCTATCTTTTGTTAATGGGGATCTTTCCTTGCTAGAGGACACATAAGAAAGGGCTTTCTTTAGTCCCTGAGAAACCAATGGTCAAGATCTCCAACCAAACTTTGCTCCCTATTGGATGCTGCAGTGGTGCCTTTTCCAAAGCCAGGCTGAAACTTTACATGTTGCAAGAGATAACGACGTAAATTCGGACCTTTAAGAATCTTTAGGGGGCAAAATTTTTTTTAAAAAAAAACATTGTTTTCTCGTGTGACGTAAAGTTTTTACATGCTTCTCAGACTACACATTTAGCTGTGATAGAGTTTATCGATTCCTAAAGTTTTTTACATCAGAGAAAAAACTTTAAGAGTTTTCAAGCATTAAGATTAATTTATTATAGAGAAAATTACAAACAAAACTTTGATGCATTCTTAAAGGCCTTTCTACCATCAGTTCTCTTCCACTTTGTTTAAATACAAAAAAAATAATAATAATAAAATCTTGATTAAATTTAAATTAAAAAAACTACATAGAAAAAAGAATTAAAAAGCATAAAAAGAAAAATAAATAAAATTATGAAAGAATAGCTTACGAGACTAATTTGGACCTGAAAACAATTGCCCTTATATAGTTAGGTCTTTAGAATAATCAATTTAAATTTAAATTTGATGCAATAATCAAATAAAAAATTATACTTATTTATATTAAACTATACACTGAACTTATTTGAAGCTCCTCAAAACCTAAAACAATCTTGACAATTAAGAAAGTGACATAATAAAAATAGTTTTGTCAAAAATAATAAAAATAATGTCTCGTATCCTTGTGAAAAATTTAACTGTAAAAAAAATAACTCTTTGATCTCAAAAAATAAATACTTCTAATATAATGTTGTTATCAAATTATGCACAAAATAGCTCACTCCCAATATCTTAAATACTATTTTAGCCAATATATTTTTATATAATTTTTTTAATTTATGCAAAACTTCTTAAAAAATAAAATGTCAAGGTCATATTAAAACATTTTTTAAGATGATGGCAACTTCAATTGATGTATAGGACATCCTTGACAACAATGTTTTGACCAGTAATTATATTGATAATTTTAGGAAATTGATCTAACCTCTTAAGAATATGTTTGATATGGATGACATATCAATACTGAAATCTTATTTGATATTATTCTCGTCTTTACTTTATGTGTTTTGATTTTTCAACATGTTTAATAACTTTAAATTATCCCTTTAGAGTTTTGTTACCTTCACTAACATCTTATCCAGTAAGAGGTTGTTATGAAGTTTAAATTATCCTTTTCCTTATCAATAACACTAAATTTACTCACTTTGCTTTACAGCATCCTAAAAGAATAGAATCTTTCATTATTAATAGTCTTTTTTTTTTACTAGTATCTTGACCTTTAATGTTAAAAGAATTGAATCTTTCACTATTGACATCCTTTTTTTTTCATTAGTGTTTCAACCTTTAACACTATATTACTTGACTCGGTGATTGTAAATAGCATATATACTCACATTCTTTCTTGAATTATTGGTTTTATCCCTCTCAAAACTCTCATCATCTACTAATTTTATATCTCCTGAAGTTGATTTTGTTATGCTAGCCTTTGAAATTTGATGTTATGTTTGTTGATGGATTTATTTCTTTACAATTAACCTTGATATCGTTTAAATAAATATTTTTTGTAATTAGAAGAAATAAACCTTTTTATTAATCATGTTCATATATCAATTGATGGTATGGGTTTCTTACTTTTATCTAAAATTTGTTTATTTGTTATCTCTTATGAAGTGATGGTTTGTCATGATCTGTCAAACCCCCATGATTCATATGAACCTCATCTTTACTAACGCCCTCCACATAGAAAGTGATTATCTAGGTGAACTTCATAAATTGGTTTGGGGTTAACCATGCTCCAAGGTAACTCTTTAAACATGTTATACTCTTCGTAATCCTTTTTTTTTATGCCTCTCACTAACTCTTAATGATCTAGTTTTTATGATTGGATTTTTCTCGCCGCCTCATGAGCCCTTCACAACTTTAATCTTCCTCAATTTGGCTGAATTTTAGTTTAATATAATTGTTAGATAAAATATTATGTTTATTTTCATTGGACTATATATTGAACTCTTTTGAAAATAATTAACATCTAAAAAATATTTTTTAATAAAAAATTGCAAAATATTATTGCCTATCCTATGAGTGAAATTAATATTCCATTTTTTCTCGAAAAAGAACATAAAGACCGATGAAATCTAAGGATTTGTAAAAAAGAAGGCGATCCTGCATGTCAATTCTCCAAATGCTAATTTAGCTTTTGCTGTAACTTTATCTTACCTTTATTTTTCTAAACCACCATCATGTAGAAATTTAATAAGAAAATCAAGTTAATTAAAATAAAGCATTGGCCTAGCATTTAAATAGGTATATATATAATTCTAATGATATTTTGGTTATTTTATTATACTCACACGTGTGTATACTCGATTAATTTTTTAATGATTTATGGATCCCCTGAAAAAACATGAATACCTAAAAAATTAGGGCATTTGATATTTGAAGGAAAGGAAAAGATATTATTACTGTTATAGTAAAAAAATATAAATGAATCTATGCCTATAATGTTTTCCAATGCACAATCAGGTTTTGTTAATAAGAACTGTCACATTCAGATATCACTGGCGACCGATTAAAATTCATTGTTTAAAAAAATATATGTATATTTAATATCTTATTTTTTAAAAGAAAATATCTAGTTCAATAAGTCATCATCTAGTATTAGATCACTAGGAACCTTAACTGGTCAACAAAGATTCTATAATACGGAATTAGTTATGTGAAAGTGAAGATGGTATCATCCCTTAAATATCGCAACTGAGGCAGATTGTATTATTCGTTTTGTTTAAAATAATCAAGAATTTATTCTTTTTTTATTCTTTTTATCATGTTTTTTATTTTGGTGTCATTAATCAGTTCCTGCGAATATTTCTAACTTTGATGTTGATAAATATTGCAAAAACTCAAAATATATGCGATATTCCTAAATTTGATGCTAGTGAATAAGTTTGTAAAATTTAAAATTTTTAATGAAGAAGAAATAATTTTTCTATGTCATTTTTTCTTGTTTGCCCTTTTTATTTATTTGTTCTTTTTAGATAAAAAAAAACATTGTATAGTGAATTTGTATTTAACAGTAATGATCTATAAGTTAAGCACTTAGTAGAAAAGTACAAAATGCAAAGAAAAAAATGAACGAGACATAAATAAATCAATAAAAATTCTTAAGTGTTTCTATAATTTTGTATTATAAAAAATAGATTTATTTAGCCAAATATTAAAATATAAAAAATAATATACATAGAAAAGATATAAGAGTGTGTTTTACAAAATACACCCTTAACAAACAGCTATTTGGGCGGGATGGGCCTGAGCTTGGTCTAGCCCACTCTTTTTTACTGAGCTTCGTCTAGCCCAACCAGACAGGCTGGGCCAGATTCAGCCAGCCTGGCCTTACTGGTAACCTGCTGATTCTGTCTCTGAAAGCGTGCATGAACTGTTCACGCACGCTTGCTACACCAAAGAGTGAATTAAATTTGCTAGGAGGGAAAGAGCGCTTACCTGATTTTTT